CGAGGCCAAGAGGACTGGAGAGAAGCGCCCCGCGGAAGGAGAAGCAGCACCGAAGCCGAACGGGAGGGAACCACCTCCACCGCCGTCGTGCGGGAGGCCAGAACCTTCGACACCGTCGCGCTAGCCGTCCGGACACGACAGCAAGGCCTGCCAGGCCACCCCTGGCCCGGCCAGGCCCGAAACGGGCCCGCTAAGCCCCGCCGCCACGCTGCAGCAAGATGGCGATGGCGCCGCCAGCACCCTGCCGCTCATCGCCTCTCCCCCGCCTCCCGGAAGCCACCAAACAGACCCACCCCGCCGCTGGCCCGCCCAAGCCCAAATGGGGCCCGAAGGGCCTAGATATGGGCCGAGCGGGCACCGCCAGACCGTGCCGCCGCGTCGCCCCGCCGCCAACGGCGATGCCGCCGTAGTCTGCCCCCGCTCGCGCCAGGGACCGCCGCCGCCACGCTGGACCGTCGCCGCCTAGAGACACCGCCCGGGGTCGCCCTGTCCCCGGGGGACCCCGAGAGGGGAAAGGCCAGGGGGCCGCCGCCACCAGCGTCGCCCGGGCCAGGCCCGCAGCGGGCGCCGGCGACGGCAGCAGGGAGGAAGAGGAAGGGGGAGGCGCGCGGGGGAGGAGGATGGGCGCGGCCAGCCGCCCGCAGGGGCGGCGCAGTCGCGGGAGAGAGGAGGGGGGTAACTGCTCACCCCGTTGGTGTTCTTTCAGTCTCCTTCTATGTATTAGAGAATATAACAAAAGTAAATGGAATATATTATGAAGATAGTGACTGGTGAACACTGAACAACTTCCCCTGTTCTAGTTGCGATGAAGCTTCCGCCGATACCTGCTCTCCAATTTCCGACTGTACGTCGGCGAAAAGAGATTACACACTTGTTTTACAAATCCAAATAAATGTTAAACAAGTTTATATTGAATGGCATGTCAAAATAACCATTAAGATGACAACTTATACTCTTGTCTTTCTTTTAGCATGTACAAAGGAATTATCACACAACATTTTATGGTCTGGCCGAAATATATTATTCCCACCGGACCCGAATTCCTTTGTGGCTTACTAATTTTACGAGTTAAACATTGTAAGTTTTAGTTAACAACACCTTTTTCCCATTTTCCCGAGTTGCATTGCATAAAAAATGGCAAACTGATACCAATATTTGGCAATCTACTAAAGGTCTCTCTAGATTTTGAAATGCAATTGTGTCAAGCTTAAAGCATTTGAGATGGTCTTTGTCAATCGCTGATCATGATGCACCAAAGGCAAATAAAGCACAAAGAGACGGAGATGAAGAGAAGCAAAATGTAGTATTTGAGATGTGGCAATGAAGTGGATTGAAAACAAAAACAACGAAAACTGAAGCTGATAACTTCTAATATACAATTACACTTGCTAAGATGTGCGGCCCAGAGAACAAGTTGCGATAGCAATAAAGATTGGATGAATAGTCAAGTATTATCACATCATAGCTGAAAAGAAAAAGGAAATTATACCGGTTAACTATATTAGTCATTTTTGTTATAGGCGAAGACAACGGTGCGATCTTGATGGAGGAGTATGGATGTACCCCCCAGCGAGGACGGCAAAAGTTTTGTTTAGGAAATTTGGGTGGGCGAACGCATTGTGGTTTGTTTCTCTTGTTCTGCTTTGTGTGATTTACATTCGTTGGTAGCACTTCCTGCTATTACGGATTGTGCTCGTACTGAGTACTGCTAGGTTTTAGAGGGGGTTTGCGATGTGGCCAAATATTGCGTCATGTGTTTAAAAGTTGTCAAATCTGGTCATGCATCGGGTGTTTGATTGTGCCCTGTTTTTCATATGTAGTGGTGAACTCAATTGGTCCTGTAAATTCGATGAGCTAGGTCTCTGAATTCCATGAACTTGTTAACTGAAATTGCTGAAGTTTTTACATTGTTTTAGAACTAAATGATCAAGTGAATGTACTGCATTTTAAACTGAACGTACTGATTGTGAACTGAGTTTTGCAAAATGAATTCTCTGAATTTTATGCACACTGAATCTTCTGAACTTTTCTCAATGTCATATACCTGAATCTTCTAAACTTTTGACACTGTCATAATTTAATATTCTGAATTATGTTGCCGGATGGACGAACGGTGAACTGTACACACAAGTTTTTGGACCAACTACCTGTATTTGCAAAAAAAATTGTGACTAATTTGAACAAGCCGAGCATGTTTACCTACCTGTGTCGTATTTACCGCAAAAGGAAATCGTAAAGAAAATCAAAATCAGCACCTGTGCTTGTTACCTCGTCCACCGGCACCACCATGATCCGCAGACGACTCAGAGTCTCCAGCCGTTGAGACCCCCAGGAGGCATTTTTTTCGCCTCCTGTGGGGCTGCCGGCGAGAACTTTGGCCTAGGGGCGGGAATTTTTCCACTCGTCGCGCCCTCAGGAGGCGAGAAGCGGGGCCGACGAGGACGAGCGGGGTGTTGGTGATCATCAGCGGACAGGGGAGGAGAAGGACCGGGCTCCTCGCCGGTGTGCACCTCCCCTGCCTGGCCGCCGCGCGCGCCACGCCCTGGCCGCCGCACCCCCTGGCTTCCCGCGTCCGCGCCTAGGCCTCGCCGTCCGCGCGTCAGCGCCCAGGCCGCCCCCGTCGACGACGAGGCGGGCGCGGATGTCCTGCTCGGTCGGGGTGAGGGGGCGGCTCAGCGGGCACCGGAGGGGGCCAGGCTGGCGAGGAGCAGCGCGTGCTCGAGGGAGAAGGTGGCGGGGCCGGCGGGGAGGCGAAAGGTGTGGGAGTGGCGAACAGGGCGTGGTGCCCGTGGCCGTGGAGGCCGCGACGGCGACGCCCGCGGCGCGGAGGACGGGCGCGGAAGGTGGTGGCCTCCTCGGCCGCCGCCTCGGCGTTGGGCACGAGCAGGTCTCCGGCGCCGACGAGGACCAGCGACGAGGCATGCCAGGAGGCGGGGACGGGAGTGGGGTTCGGTGCCCGCGTGTGTGGAGGGAAAGAGAGAGAGAGGAGGGAGCACGTGGGTGGGCCAGCGCTCTAGGGAGCACATGAGGACGGGAGAGAGGAGAGAGCCGCTGGCAGGTGGGCCAGCGCCCACAAAAAAGGCGAAATTAAGCCCCCCAGGAGCCCCCCGGTGCGCTGGGTGTCGTATGGGGTTGCCGGCGGGAATTTTTGCTTCTACCGGCGAAAAACGACGAGTTGGGGGCCCGAATGGGGCGATTTTTGCCCGCCGGCGCCCAAAAAGTGGCTTGGGGAGGCTTCTTGGGGGCACTAGTGGAGATGCTCTCAACCCCATCCCCGTTGGGAGCTCGCTAGCGCCATCTGTACCGGATCCGCGCCTCGCCCTCATTGGCCCTGAGCACCGCCACCCGAGCTCCACCATTTGCCACACCCGGCCTGCGCTTCGCCACGTCCATGCCCACCTCGAGCTCCTCGCGAGCTGTCCGCCGCGCCGCCGGTCGAGCGGGTCATGTGGTTCGAGTAGCCTAACTACACATTAGTTTTTGGTTAGATGGGCCATAGTCCACCACGGGCCCAATTGGCCTAACTACTATTCCTTCCGTCCCATAATATAAAAGCATTTTATTGGCAATGACATGTGGGCCTCACATGTCATACCTGTCAATTTAAAAGAGTTTGACTATTATGCCACATCAATGCTTACATGTGGGCCATCCCTGCCATAAACCTGCTTATACGAGCCAAATCAGACACTTGTAGTTTTTTTTAAAAAAAAATATAGTTGTAGAGTGGTATTTTTGAAAAAAAAAATGATAGTTTTTCGTTCGAGTCGGTTTAAATGTGGTAGCTTTTTGTTAAATACTCTATCCATCCACACTCAAACGATTCTTTCCCGAAAATAAACCGCATCGCGCTCCTGTAGCGACACATGGGGCAATACCCTAGGAATCGCCGCAACCTTCCTCCATCCTCGTCTTGCCGCCGACCGCGGTGTCGCTGGCGAAGCTCATGCGGTTCCATCGGCTGGATCTGGAGCCACGAGATCTGGCCCTATGGAGGCACGCTGCCCGCTGCGTTGCATGGTGTGGCCTTGGCGCCCTCGTATCACTGACAAGGGCAGCAGCGGAGCTGTGAGATGTCCAGCGCAAAGGAGAAAGAACAGGGGAGAGAGCAAATGGATCCAGCAGGTTGAGGGTGGATTTGGTGTAATTTATGATGGGGTAGGCATGTCGGGTCCGACGTGACAGACGCGCCCGGGCATATCATATCTGCTTCATATTTGAGCTGGATATGAGGGGTGTTATTCAATCTAGTCGTTTGACAACCGTTTGAGGCGCTCATTTAGCACTTTTTTTTACCGGTCATCCGTCCAGACTCGTTTGAAGGTGGTTTGGGGTGCTCGGCTCGATGCTCTTAAATCCCTATCTATCATGAGGTGTTTGGGTTTTACAAAACTTCATAGACATGCAGAAGAGAAAAAGGCAGAATCCTCTTCAATCCTTTTTTAAACACAGTACAGACATAAGCGCTCATACATATATGCATACACTGATCACTATGGAAAAAAAAACACACCTATCCCTATAAGCACTTCCGAGATATTGAGCCGACATATCATCTTGAGATTTACGAAGTCACCGCAGCCGCCTTGTCGTCGACGGGAATGTATCCTTCCACTAAAAGCGTATCGCCCGAGATTCTGAAATAAATCCATAAATAATACGAGCACCAGGACTTATAGGCTGATGAACTGAGGATATCAGTGTGCCCCTAACCATCAAACCACATGTTGGTTCCCTCCAGTCACCTTAAGAAGAGGATTAACACAACAAGGCATTAGTGAAGGTGGCCTTAGAAAAAGACCCAAAAAAGAACAAAAAATTGGGTATGAAACCTCCTTCTTCCTCCTCTGAACCCCTCAGCTAGCTCGCTCACCGGTCTGGTCTGATGTAATCTGAAGGTCTGAACCCATCGGCACTACTAGTAGCTGCCAAATTAAACTCGGTCCGTGCTTCCCCCCTTCCGCCCCTCATCGTCCGCCGTTGTGAGATCTGCCGACGGAATGGAGGCGGCAGACGACACCAGTTCCCTGCAGGCCGCGATTCGATGGCTGCTGCACACCATCCTTCCCAGCCTCAGCAAGCTGGACGGGTGGATTCGCCAAGCAGGGCTCGCCGGCGAGGTGGAGGGGCTCAGGGACGAGATCGACCAAGTCGACGGGGTCGTCTCCGCCGTGAACGCCAGGTCTGAGATCCGAAACAGATCGCTGGCCAGATCCCTCGCAGCCCTCAAGGAGCTGCTCTACGCCGCCGACGAAGTGGTCGACGAGCTCGACTGCTACAGGCTCCAGAAGGAGCTCCAAGGAGGTAAATGCCTGCCTCAACATCAGAACGAGCACGCCACCTGTTTGTGTTAATTACTACTCCACTTCCAACATTTTTTCTATATATCGTGCACCACCATACTAATTTCGAGTCCATGGTTTCTTCTGGTGCAGATCCATGGCGCCATCCCAACGGAATTGATGGACAAAGTTCTTCAAGGTGACTAAAAATGCTTCATACTTTGCACATTTACAAGACTCTGTTTTAAAGAGTAATGCTAGACCTACGGGTTTTTTTTCTACGTTTTGCAAATGGTATGTAATCTGCTCGTAGGTGTAGGATTATTGGTTTTTATACATCTGAGTAAACAGTCCAATGTGATTCGAATAGCCAATTCACTCCATATATTTTAACGCAGCACCTGTGGCACTACCAGAAATGCAACTGCTGATAGTTCATCCAGGAAAAAAAGGAGAAGGGGCAAGGATTCAGCAGATGTCACAGCAACCAACACAGGCCCTTGGAGCAAGGACCGAATTTCAGAAAGGATACAAGACATAACTGGTCAGTTGCGAGATACCCGAGGGAATGTGCGACGTGTTCTCAAGATGCTTGGGCCAACGACTCGTGCAGGTCCAAATCGTTGCCAGAGTACAACCATGTCAAACCCGCGCCGGGGCACATCAAGTCTTGTTCAAGGGAAAGTGTATGGGAGAGCTCAAGAGAAGAGTTACATCATAGAGTTGATAAAAGAACGCAAATCAGATGCTGGGGTAACTGTTCTCCCAATCGTAGGCATTGCAGGGGTTGGGAAGACGACTCTGGCTCAACTAGTATACAATGATCCAGATTTGAAAAGTCAATTTGACCTCTGGATATGGATCTGGGTCTCTAGCAGCTTCGATGAAACCAGAGTCACAAGAGAGATGTTAGATTTTGTCTCCCAGGGAGCACATAAAGGGCGATGCAGGTTTCCCAAGCTTCCGGAAGTCTTGAAGGATCGTGTTAAATCAAAGAGGGTTCTCCTTATTTTGGATGATATTTGGGATGACATAACTGATTGCCAATGGAACCAACTACTGGCTCCTTTTATGCCGGACAATGCAAAGGGCAGCATGATACTTGTGACAACTAGAATACCATCTGTTGCCAAAAAGAGAGGTACAACTGGACCGATTAACTTAGATGGTTTGGAAAATGATGATTTCTGGCTAATGGTCAAAGCGTGTGCATTTGGCGACGAGAACTATGAAGAGCAAGCTAGTCTGGGTGAGCTTGGACGGCAGATAGCAAAAAGATTACAGGGAAACCCATTAGCTGCAGAAACTGCAGGGACACTGTTAAGAGAGCATCTTACCGTTGATCATTGGAATAATATTCTGAAGAACGAAGATTGGAAATCTCTACAACTCAGTAGTGGCATCATGTCTGCTTTGAAGCTTTGCTATGATCAGCTGCCCTACAATTTACAGCAATGCTTCTCTTATTGCTCCATATTCCCCTACAGTTATCATTTTCTTGCTGAGGAGCTGCTACGTATGTGGATTTCACAGGGATTTGTGAAGGGTAGCCATTCAAGTATGATACGGGAAGAAGGGCGGCGCTATCTGTGTGACTTGGTAAACCTTGGTTTCTTCAAGCAAGTTGAAAGAAAAGAACTCCCTTCTGGCCATACTCAAACTTACTTTGCTATGTCTGTTCTTATGCATGATTTGGCTAGGGTAGTTTCAAAAACAGAGTGTGCTGCTATGGATGGTCTGCAGTACAATGAAATATTGCCAACCATACATCATTTGTCTATAGTAACGGATGGTCAGACTGGGAACATACCTGGTAGTGAAAAGTTTGAAGAAAAAATACAGAGCATATTTACATCAGTGGAAAAACTAAGGACATTTGTGTTGATTGGGCAGTATGAACCTTCCTTCTTCGAAGAAGTTTTCCGAAAGGCATATAATTTGCGTGCATTGCAAATTTCTGCAACATCTGCTGATTTCCATTCATTCCGGTATAGTTTGGTGAATCTTATACATCTTAGATATCTAAAACTCGATGGTCATGGTGAGCAGGGGAGCTGCTCGCCTCAAGTTCACTTGTATGATAATTCTGCTGTTCGGGATAATGCTACTTTCATTGCCTTGCAGAATGTGTGTCTAGAGAATTGCAGAGAAAAGCAAGCAGTTCTATCTCTGGAAAACCTTCCATTCCTCACAACATTGAAGTTAACCAACATGTGGGGAGTAAGAGAAGTACTGATTCCGTCAGTGGAGGAGCTAGTTTTAGTTAACATGTCCGGGTTGGAGAGATGTTCCTGCACTTCCTTGGCGGGTCTGGTGTCTAGTTTAAGGGTACTGGAGATCCGGAAGTGCAGCGCACTCAGGGTGTTTGATCTGTTCGAGAAAGCTCACAACTCGGAAACTCAGCTTAAGCCATTGGATTCTCTACAGCTGCATTCCTGCACGTCTCTGGAAGATTTGAGAATTGAAGACTGTGGAGGGATCATCGCAATAGAGGGCCTTCACCTCGTGAAACTCAGGCATTTGAATGTATGCAAAAAATCAGTTTTTCGTGGTATATCAGGGAATGGCTATCACCTAGGATCTCAACTGGATCTATTTATAACTAGTGACTTGTCCCTCCTTACCACATCAATCTGCAAGGGGCTCACCTGTCTCCAGAGCCTAATAATTCAAAATTTGAAGTGCGAGACCAGGAGACTAACAGATGATCAGGAGAGCGCGCTTCTGCTCCACAAGTCCCTTCAAGAGCTAGTGTTTGATGATTGTGGGTACCTCGTGCATCTTCCTGCAGGACTGCGTTGTCTTCCTGCCCTCAAGAAATTGAAGATCATAAGATGTAGCAGCATATTAAGGCTTCTGAAGGAGGAACTCCCACCTTCGCTGGTGGAACTGGAAATCGACAATTGCAGCGTTGAGTTGGCAAAACAATGCAGATTGCTATCAACAAGCAAGCTAGAGGTCATAATTTATGATGACTATGACCAAGAAGAAACCGATACTTCCAGCAACTAGTGTATACGTCCCCAATACCTCTCAGGCTTTAGTAGTGCCGGTGGTGGGCTCCTTTCTCCGGTGCTCCCGCTCCTCTCCCCCACACTATCCTGTAGAATTCTATCTAATGGAAGGCTGCTGGTTTCCTTGTCCTCCCTTTCTCTCTAACTTAACTTTTATGTTTGGTAAGTTGCTGCTACCCTTTGGCTGTTGGTTCTTCCTTTTGTTGGAATCATGGATTAGAAGATACTCCCTCTGTACCATAATATTCGTCGTTTTAGCAGCTCAATTCTTTGGTAGTTGAAGATAATGGACTGCAATGACTAAATGTATGCTAAATGGCTTGATGCTTAATTGATAACATATTTTTTATTTAAAAGAATAGTCAAACGTATCCCTGTATTGGCGCTTTTCAGAAATGACGTA